ACGGGACTCTACGGGACTCTACGGGACTCTACGGGACTCTACGGGACTCTACGGGACTCTACGGGACTCTACGGGACTCTACGGGACTCTACGGGACTCTGCGGGCACACTGCGAGACTCTACACTTAACAGCTGCCAGAAATGAGTTATCCATGCCCGCGACCCATTGGGTGATATCAGGTGGCAAGTGCGTTAGCCGTCCGCGTTCTCCACCGGTGGGTTTACTTATTTTATTTTCCACAGGTAAAACCGAAAAATCTTCGCGCCAGTTCCCCGGAAAAATCAAACAATTCACTAAACGCACATAATAAGCCCGCAGAAAATTTGTCGCAGGATTTATTTCGCCACGTAAAACACTTAATGCAGCAAATATTAGCCTCGTGTAAAGGCATTCCATTTCGTTTCTTCCCCGACTTAAAATCAACATACTTGGCATCGATGTTATATCCCGTCCAGGTAAGAATTACAATTTGTTCTAAAACTATTACGATATCCGCGACGTGCATGGTTGTTGGATATAGTTGAGGCAAAAGCCTCTATTCCCAATATCGCTCGGAGCTTCGACATTGTCGGTGTGGAGAACCAGTCTGAAGGGCTTGATTGTACCTGAAAAGAAACTCGTTATGATACCTCTTCTTCAAATAAATCGTCAATTATTTATTACCTTTAACTGTGTAATCGTTTCTTGACTTTTTCGGTTATGTCTCTTTATACTTACTTATGACAGTCGAAGAATTAATATTCTGGTTTTCAGCATTAAAAGCTCCTCCACAAATGCGGTCTACGCACGTCATGGGTGCTGTAGATAATCTACCCAAATTGGATGCGCAAGGGATCATCAGCCAATCTGCCTGGCATGCAGTCCCTGTCATTGAAGGTACTTGTTGGGTCATTGTGTTTCCAGATAACGTAAATGTACTGATACGAGTTGCCATTGATTGACTTCCAGGAGTTGCCATGGCCCCAGGTTGCACTGCAGTAGAAAAGTAAAAATTTAAAAGTATGTTCTACGTGTACAGAAATCACATTGCACAATTGTCAATGGAAGTAATGAGTAACGAGATGAAATGCAACGTACTTGGTCGAGAACACGCCATGTATTGTATCCCACAAAAATTGTTCTCTGTCCTGATACAAATACTGTAATCCTGGTTTGACAGCTGAAGACCATTGTTGTCGTCGTAATTGAATGACTTTATTTCTCCAGAAACTCCGGTGTAATATTGAAGGCAGCCTTCCTCGGCTCTGTAAATCGTGCTGCAAGGGATTTGCGACACCCGAATTTTCCAAAATCGAGAATAATTGCTGCCGCTGGTGACGAATGTTAACGTTACTGGGTTGCTTTGCCCGGTCCCAGCATTGACATACACTGCAAAAAAAAAATTATCGTGTTAGATCAAAGATCAGATTAGATAGAACGTGCTATTTTAAAATTAATTTTAAGTGAGATGTCATCGAGTGATACTCTAATGCATATTTAACATTTTTTTAAGCGATTCACTCACTGTGATTCCCGTCATTGTTGCCGCAAATCGGAGGGATGGGATTGGCTCCTGAGACAATGAATTGATCATAGGTGCACATGTGATTCGTCGTTTCCGGCCCTCTTATGCTCATCTGGATAAAATCCAGCCTAGAAAAAAATCCCAAACCAATTTTTTTTAATAATAGAAACAAAAATTAATTATAGACTCCGTCCCATGTCTTATAATTCTCACCTGAATTGACAGACATCCGGGTGGGACTTGATCAGGGTCAATTGGCACGACTCCGACGTCTCGGTAGGCGATGGGTGATTTGTATTAACAAAGTATGTATTATTGTCGCTGGTGGATTGTCCGCACGTAACAGTAACTAGAGAAAATTGAATGCCCGGGTGTTATGAAAATTTCAGATAGGCTGAAAAGTCGGGAGGAAATTTTTTTCCAATTAATGCGCGTTAGTAGATTTTTGTTCTTTCTTTTAACTTATAGATAAAAAAAATCATTCTTACCGACGCAACACACTCCATAACCATTGGCGCAAGTTCCACTAGCCGATCCTTTTCTCTGAGAACATTCCGCAGCCGAGACGCAGATTCCATTTTCCCCGGTCGGTCCACCGCAGAGATTATTCTCGAATTTCACCAAAGTGAACAGCGACAGGACTGGACAAAAATTAAACACGTCGAATCAAAGTCTAATTCGAGCGTTTCACAATTTAATTTCTAATTTATCTCCCCCTCGACCGTGTCGAATTACTTACATCTCCTTCCTCTGTCGCCAGCCTCTTGACCGCCGTTTCCAAAACTCGCACCATGACGTCCACCTTGACTTTGCTCCGAAATAACTTGATCCCTTCGCCGATCGAGCCCTCTTTCTCCGAATCTCCAGAATTTCTTCCCTTCCGGCGACCTTTTCCATCCCCTGTCGAATCCGGTCCATCCCTCGACTTGCGCATTGCAAAGCACGCAAAGTTCACAAAAAAGTGTGATTAAGTGGACCCAAATCATGCTTATCGATACAAAAGATATTCATATAAGCTCCCAGATCTCTGACGAGTGTAAAAACAAAAGAAGATAAAACAAGGATTGCCTTCAAGGCATTTGCGGGAGGAAAAATCGAGCTTTCGGGATCTCCACACCGCGCGCGGCTAATATCGGCGTCTCTACCTCCGTTCACTAGCGCGAGCAGCGCTGCCTTCTCGAATTAAATACTCCGTCTTTGCGAAGATGCCGTGTTACGATTTGCCTCGCGAGGGTGGGGAAAAGGATTATCACATCTTGCTACGGGGGTTTCGGAGAAAGCAGGGAAATTTAATTTCGCGCCGGGCTCCATTGTCCCTGACACTCGTGGCGACGAGTTCTTGCGATCCCGACAATTAGAGATACGAAAGCGAGGCGCTTAAGACATTAGAGGACGCGAGACTGCATGACTGAAGCATTGTTAAGAAATCTTTTTCTCCCGTCACCTTTGTCCACGGACATTTATGTGCAATTAGCAATTAACGAGAGTGAACAAAGTACCACTTGATAAACAGTCGAGCACTGCTGACTTCGACAAATTAATCATTCTTCGCCGATAATATCGATACAATGAATTTCTTCTTTCTCGCATAAAAAGTGTCAACCGATGTGTACAAATGTGGGAGACAAAATGCCCACTTTTAGATAAGATCGGATCATAATTTATTTGTGCAATTTGAGCAGTTACTATAACAACGTTACGTACAAACATGGTCTCACGATACACATTGTAATAGGCATTACAAAGAAACCGCGATACACGGCCCTATGGAAGCATAATCCTGTTAGCTATTTGCGAAAACTGAGTATTAAGTCTACTATCAGCTGACAGACTTACTTTTACTCTTACTTTCACTAATGTCACCGGACGTCCAGCGACTGGTTCGTCACAGTTTCAAGACGGCCATCACTTTAGGTTGATTTTTCGACACTTTCGCTTGTTCGCTCGGAGATGTTCCCTCGGTTGTAAAAGGGTCCAACATCCACCGTTTATTTATTGTCACCTCGCAAACGTATCCACCAAGCGAATAAACAAAAGCAGCCGAGATTACGCCTACGTAAAATATTCGCGTACGGCTCAATTGTTGCACGGTTTCGGAATAGGATTTTCTTTCCCTCATAATATCACTTTCGCGTTCAGATAAACGCATATCGTCATTGAACCGTTCTTCTTCGGCATTGCGCTTTATACATATTCGCCGTGGAGATGTTTCGCTAACCATGCTTTTATCCAAAAGCGAAAGTAATTGTTCTACCGTCCGATACAGCGGAATCAAGTTCAGAGCTCGAAGATTACTTATTCTGTTTCGAACGAAATCCAAGACTGACCGCTGAGTAATTTCTTCGGTCTCGATGCATTCCTTTTCGAGTAATGGTTTAATATCAAATTAATGCGCGATGAATAAACGGTCTCTCTCGACGTATAAAATTCAATTTAAATTGCCAACAATTACAAGCTCGACTCCCTGCGTTACAATAAATATATTTCTATTTCTTTTTTTTTATTTATTAGCTACTTCCTTAATTGTTAGCTCCGAACTCAATGCCTCCGGATCGATCCTAAGCACTTATCCAGACAATTAAACCGGAATGGAGGACGCCCCAATCCTGCTGGCGAGGTATATAATAGTATTTACAATACGTAACAACATAAAACTCGTTACAGAAATTCGGTCTGACGCCAGCTGACGGACCAGGGACCTTGTATAAATCTTTTTACGCTTGTATAAACGATAACAAACTTTCGCTCGTAATTTATTTACAATTGGTTCTTTGATATGTCATCATTGCCCGCGCCTTGGCCCGATTACTAGCCAGGACGCGCATTACTCGAACTTAGTCCAGCTCGTCCCTCTAGATTATCTCCTCTCCCTTATTACACGAATTCTCAGTCCCATTAATATTATTTAATCCTTCTAAGACCTTCATTATACTCAAATATATCTCGTTCGTCCTCCGAATCATTGAGGCAACCTCCTTATCGGTGAACCGTATACCATATCAATACTGACGCTCTTTCTATGCACCTTTGCCCTATGGACTCGTTTTTCTGTTTGTCCAAACGAAAGTGGCCTAATCTCCCTACGCTAATTTAATTTTCCTGCACGTCAAGGGTTCGTTACATTTGGGAATTTGTCTCCCTTCCTCGGTTGGTTGGTTTCTAATCTGCGTGTTATCAAAGTTACGCGTACAGATATTGACCATCGAACTTCTCGGATTTGCTCGACCGTAACGTTCTCGTTGTAACTAATCGAGAAATCATTTTTAAGCTAGTCTACTATCTCGTGATTGATCTCTAAATCATTTCTATTTACGTTTAACGGAGTCTAGACCGTGCCTCTGCAGGTTGTAGTCGCCGAGCTTTTTGGACTCGTTTCGGACCGGTTTAGTCTTACTATTCGTGCTACCAACTAGAGCGGTGAAAAATGTATAGTTCTTTATTACGTGAGTTTAATGGAATCTAAACCGTATTCCTGCAGACCGAAATCATCCATCGACTCGACACGATTTGGCCTCGACATCGCTATTACAGCCGACACAAATGATTCTAACATCTCACTCCTCCCGTACAGCTTTGCATCTGACTTGCTATAATTTCCACTACCTATTTAACTCGGGCTAAGTCTTCTTCCTACAAGTCCAGATCTCCAAGCGCTCTCGACATATTCAAGACTCCGAAACTCTCGACATAACAAGTGCGACGAAAGATGTATAAACGATCCCGCCACGCTACGTTTCTCCGTGACTACTTCGAAGCGGTTAACCCGAAGCTATCGTCTCAGGTGAATGCGTTTTCCGCGTCAACAACGAGCGATAGGCAATAATGCATCCTACAGTACTTGTCGCGCACGTTGCCCTGGATAACTTTTACCTGGAGCATTTTTTCCCCATCACCCTCCGTTGGCTTGGAAAATCGCGAGAGGTCGCGGCCCTCCCTCTCGAGGCCGTGTTACTCGAACTTGGTCCAGTTGTTCTGTAGCTTGACAGTTGGCTCGTTTGACAGCGAGCCGAAAGCAGTGTCAATACTGTTGCTGATCTCGGTGGCGCTCTTCTCACACGTCTCACTTTTCCCCGACGACGATGCTCCACCGTTCGTTACACTGAATTTATTGAAGTCCAGGCCGTATTCTTGAAGAAGGTCGAAATCGCCCAATTTCTCAGGCTGATTCTTGGCTTGAGACTCGGGGTTCTTTGCGCTGGGCAGAAAGTATGGGTACAAAGGGTTGCTAAGACCCTCCCCCATTTGGGGGATGTGCAGAGACTGCGTCATTTGCTTCGAGTCGTTGAATTTCGAGGATTTCGACAATAGCGGGTCAAAGTCGTCGTCGCTGTTCACGGAGTCCAACCTGATAAGATCACGCTCTTCCGAGAACTCCTGAAAGTTTAATCCAAATCGAAAGATGAGACATCGTCAGAATTAAATCCAGCAACAATAAATTAACCCGCCAAAGGGAACAAAAACCCTTTCATTTAATTTTCTTCTCCTACTATATATAATTTATATAATATAATTTCACTTCAACTTCGGATGCAGGCGTACTTTCTCGATCTCCCTTAACAAGCATTAAATCTCTGCATCGAAAGTACTCTCGTGTATCTTGGTTCGGGCTGAAAATTCTACGTGGTGATCGACAAAATTCGAGAGTACCGAAATAAAAGCCCGCGAACCTCTCGACGGATACTCGGAGATGATTACAGTACCCGGGGAACAAAAATGCACACGATGATACCGCCCTAAGAAAGCAACACTGCACGATGACAAACGGAAGCAGCGTCAAACGATTCGTGACGTAAATTCATGAATAAATAATGGAAAGAAAAAAAAAAGGAAAAGAGACCGTAGCGATGAGAAATAAAATGAACGGCGTTTACCTTGGCGAGTGCAGGGCTGTGTCGGGCATTTAACGAGGGAATCTTGGGATCGGCCTCGCATTCCGAGGAAGGGATCACCGAGTTCTGCGTAAGGAAGGGATTCAGGGCTCGGCTCGTATCGAAGGGATCTCCTGGAAGAGCTTCGCTACTCTCAGACCCGAAATTCTCATCCCAGGGGACCTGAGAACCCGCGAAAGGATTACTCGCCTCGGCAACTTTCGCACCTATCTCAGCCGTCTCTTCGGAGCTCGTTCCATCGGACACGGAAACGAGCTCTGGGAGGCCGGTCTGTTGATTTAAAAATGGATTCGTAGGGTTAATGAATTCTCTGGAGCCCACGAAAAATTGGGCCCTCGATCGGGAGCTGCCGTTCGCCGAGAGAGAAGGAAAAACTCCCTTTTTCGCCCTCTTCGCGGGTTCTTTCGGCCCTGGGGAAGAGTCGCGGCTGGACGAGTCCTTCGAGCTCGAGGAATTTTTTCCGGACGAACGATTCGTCCCCCCGAGCTCGTTGGGCGGCCCGGAAGTGCCGGAGGTAATGCTCGACAGACTGGAGAGAATAGATCTCGTTGAAGCGAGCAGCGTTGATTTTTGCTCCGTTTTTTGCGATCGCGCGGCCGAGCCCCCAAGAGTGCACATGATGGCGGCGCTTTGGCTTTGGCTTTGGCTTTGTCTTTGGGAAACTTCATCGTCGTGGGAAGTTGTTACAGGAAGTAGAGGGCCGTGCCGTACGTGACCGCTCCATGCAGATCTCAAGCTGTCTAAACTGCGGACCGGCTTCAACTGAAAGTTATGCACACAACACTTCGATCTACTGTGACAATGCAAGTCCTGTGGAATGCTCGAAACGGGGCTGTGGAAGCACCTTGACAGACGAACGAAGAGTTCAAAATTAGATTGGATTAACACACGTATATGCAGAGAGTCTTAGAATTGTGGTTCACAATTTGTCGATGGAGCTGCACCCCTTTTTGGAAAATCTTGGTTAAGGGACACTCCGATATGCAGTACGTTAACTTTTGTATGGCCAGGACAGGTGAATGTAAGCTTCGTAAGACACATCGATGGAGGTTTTTGCAGTGTTTAGTAATTAATCTTTCCCTTTTCCTGGGTTACGGTGGCTCTAGTAAATTATGTGAGAGCTCGATACGATGCATCGGTGTCTCAGGTGTTTCCATATACCAGGTGTGCTTAACGTAGAAGGTCAATGTAACTAAATGTCAGTTTAATTTTAAAATAATCTCGATGTAAATTATATGTAAATGTACTTACAGTGCATTAGAAAGTACCTGAAAGCACAAAGAAGCACACCGATGCCTTAGCATGCCGTGCGTAAATTATGTGTGCACTCTTCCCTTTGTTTCACCGGCTAAGAGATCACGCGACCTTGTTTACCGGTCATTTATCATTCAGCCACAACTAATGTGAAATCTTGCATAAATATTTATCCGTGCCTCATTGCACTATTCAGTGGAGTAATACATTTGCAGTAACTATCCAACACGATTACTCTAAAGTGTTTCTCGTCATCGCAGCAAAAGTACCATACGTATTTTCTCACACATTCGCATAATTCCGGTAACGATTAAATTGGGCATGCTGCGTTTTCACCAAGTAGTGCTTCCAATCATAGAAATTCTGATACCGTAACCGTTAAGTCGAGCTCTCTACTTACAGTTCTATCTACAGGCGGCGTATTCGGGAATATCACGTCTCGCATTTCGTGCATCAAGTCGATGTTCAGTCGTTCCGGAAGTGGATCACATTCCTCCGGAGAACTCGAACTCAAAGGAGAGTACTGTTTCCGACTGTAACACACGAAACACCATGCAATATTTACTATGCGTGAAATATCTTCAATTTTGCAAGCACGAGCCTCTGGCACTAACCAGGCAGCTAAGTTCTTTTTTTTTTTTTTTTAATATCAATCCCAGATTGCAAAAAAGCCTCGTAAAAAAAATTAGGAAAATGGAGTGGGATTATATATTAAGATTATACCTCGTCTCGGGGACGGCGCTGTTACGAAATCGTGGTTCCTTCCTGTAGCTGGTAGTCGCTGTAAAACCGCTAAGAGGTTTTGAAGGAGAACTAAAAATAGCTGGACTTCTCTCCAAAGTGGGCGAGCTCGGAGCTGATCTGGGCTGCTGAAAACGGGAACTTTCCTCGTGCCTGCTCGAACGACCTGGCGAAAATAGTCCTTAAATTATTACGGAGTAAACATATTTTTTTTACGTCCAATTCTGAGCGAAATTACCTTTCCACTTTAGTCCCTTGTAGACCGTCCTCATGTCTTTACTCTTGTCTTTTACCTGTAACGTGATAAACTCAAGTTAAACAAATGACAAATTAAAAAGAGTTGCAAAATCGTAAACATTAAGGAACATGTATCGACGTATACAATACCAAGCGCAAATTGCAATACAAATGGTCATAAATGGTGTACGAATTTCTTTGAAATGTTTACGAATGTCAGCTTTCTTCAACTCACCGACTTGACTGCAGATTTTACCGCCGGGTTTGCCTAAAACGAGAAAAGCAAGCACGCTAAAACGAACAATGCCTACCAGGTTAATAACTATTACAGACAAACTAAAAAAAGCATTATTTATACAATCATCTAAAGCTTTGTAACTGTAGCCGGGTTATTCAAGCAAATCACGAAATGAAACACATCCGAACCGTGGACTAGAATGATTAACACAACTTTTGACAAAGTAAAAAAAATTATAAACACTTTTTCAAATAAATGAACTATCTTGAAAGGATAGTTATGAAAGAGTTAAAGAGCTAAATTTCGCTTTACCTTATCTTTTACGCTGCGGAAAAATGCGGTACCTTCCTTTCGCATGGCGTAAGTCCATTCGCGGTATTGTTGCCTAAATTTACTGTTAGATTTATCCGAGTAATTGCAAGCCTCTAATTCGAATTCATCAGAGAAGCCAAGCCCTGAGTTCAACATGTGCAGCCTCTCTTCTATAAACTATGACAATAAAAAATGTTTATACATGTAATTATGTTTAAATGCAATTGCTACTGCGATGCCACTGGCTCGTCTTCATATATTGTTACATGTTGTACACATACCTGTTGAAATATTTGCAGCTCTAACATTTTACGTAGGAAAGGCTGCATGGAAGACGGTCGACTTTCAACAAAGGCGTCTTGGTCGAACGTAATTCGTTCACCTTGATGTAATGTCAATGCCTCTCTGTAACCAGCTGTGAGCTGAACTAGAGCTCGCAAAAATGCCCTCGATACTCCATCGCCTAACAATGCTGCTCTGTTGCGTAGTGCTCTTCTTAAATTATTTACCACATCTGGCGGTAAAGACTCTAAATCTTGAAAAGGTGACTCTATCATATTCATGTCAGCATCCAATATCACAACATCTCCTAGATCACTCTTACGCGCTCTCTGAAATGATGGAAACAGATTTGACATAAATGTATTTGTAAAATATTGCGAAAGTTCATTCGGTTGACAAATCATTCAATTATAAAATACCTGTAGTATTGGAGATGGTACACCAATCAGAAATGGCATCGGTGCTAACAGATAATCCATTAATGATAGCGGAAGAACCGGTATATAAATATGTTGCCAAATCATGGGATAAATCAGTGCGTTGCAAGCTTGCACACATGCACTTAATCTTGAAAGTCTTTTGGAGGTGAAAATAATACGACGCTCATACAACATCGATGCAAATATCATCATCATGTTATGGGAATCGACAGCACTGTAATATTCGGTTAGATTTCTCTGCAAGAATGATTAATACTTTAAATACCTTCAAAGTCATAAAATTAAAAGGAACTCTTACACTAATTTTTTAAATGCTTTCTAAAATAGTCTACATGACGTCTAAAATATGTATGCAAATACACGCATCTCATTTAACTAGTTTGACAACCAATGAAAAATCTGAATACATCAATCTTAAAGCAAGTCTTTGTCAAAAAAAAAAACGTTACTTACATTCTCTGGTATACTAGGTAACTGAAAGAGCTTCGGACTTCGACAAACGAATGTCTGAAAAGGAGAATTATAGCTACAATATATTTATACAGCAAATTAAATATTACTAGGATGTGAAATTGCAATAATTACTTAAAAAAGTGAATAAAGAGGTCGTCAAAATAATTTTCTGTTTTGGTACAAACTAATGCAGGCATACACCTTCAAATATTATTGAATTATATGAATTGAATCCCCTTCGTTTCAACAAAAATTTAACTTACAACATTTGGGTGTGGTAATGGGACCGTCACGGAACATCCTGGAAGTGGAATGCTACAATTGTGAACATCTTCAAGGAATTTCCAAAGATCTCCTCCTCCACTTGCCATCAGACTCGCAATCTGATTTAGTAGTCTAAATTGGAGTAATTGAAATATTAATCAAAGGCCTCGATTGACAGAATTTAATATTCTTTCCTGATTAAGAAAATTTAATAAAATAACTTCACTGTAAGTACTTGTAAAATGCTTCGTGCCATGGTAAAGCACTGAGGATAACCAGAGCAGTTTGGGTTTTTGGATCATGCCGACAGAATCCGAACGTCCACTTTGAGTCAATGTGTGTGAGGACGAAGGAAAAATGTTGCACCAGTGTACTAGAAAAAATAGTATAATTTAATTTAAGAAATTTTGCATCATAGACTTAAATGAACAAATCACTATTGTAAAACCGCTTCGCTCACTTTTTCAATTCACACGGGTATGCAAACTTTGGAACGGACTTAAGGATTTCTTGATCCGTGTAAGATTCCGGATATCTCTGAAGTATCCATGCTTCATTCTCTCCAACAGGTTCGGCCACTTCACAGAAACATTCGTAGAGATATTTGACGTTTTCTCTGCGCAAAAAATAAAACACTTCATTTACCAATCCAATATCTTTACATATACCATAAATAATGAACACTAATAGAATAAACCTGCCGCAATATTTTTCAAATATTCGTAAATTTCATTTTATACATCAATTTGCTCTAATATTTAAATAATTATAAAGTCTTTATCGATTTAAAAAATGACAGTACTCCAATAATCATGGGAAGTCATTGCCATAGGATTTTTTACAAAATCCCCAGCAAGACGAAGATTTCATTGCATCATATGGTCGATACAAATGAGTAAGATACATAGGCAAGCTGAAGGCGGTCTTGACTGGTCTTGACAAGACTGCGTTAAGGAAAGAAAGCGTTAATCACGGAATGACGCATAAGCGATAAAGGCAAAACTCACCTTAATCTGGATCCCATTATACTGGTTTCAATATAAATAATTTGGTCGGTCGGTGGTGTTGTATGATCCTCATGATTCCTCCTGACAGTAGTCCATTTCCGATATATCACGTAGGCTTCGCGTAGGCGTCGAAGGCGCTACGACTTATCATTCTGTCTGTCAGCTGGACCCTAAGCAGATACGTACTTTTCCGTCAAATCGCACACACTCTGTATGTCGAAATCAAAGGTTGGGACACCGTGCTCTCGTCGATCACAGTGCCTCAAGGCTCTTCGAGAATCGCGAGGTTATAGGGAGATGGTTAAATGCGCATGCTCGTATAAGTGGCAAGCAATCCCTTCAGAAATCTATCAGCCTTGCCCATCTGCTGCACTGCTGCATTCCAACAGTGTGTCTGTAATCTGCTGTAATGTAAGTTCTATGGTCTGTGAAGATCTGTTCAGGTTTGTGCAGAGTGACGTGATAATTGACGTTATTGTGTGTTTTTGACTGGTTTGACAGAAAGACAGGGTCTCAAGCAGATTCCGAACAATTCCGAAGGGGCTGCGGAGGGTTCTTCGCGTAGGAGAAGAGCACGAAATCGGAACGCTATTTAGTGAAGAATGTCGAAGATCGAAGAGGGCAATTCCCATATTCGGCAGGCTGAAAAAAGGTGAGTTAAATGCGACATATATTGGCACAAGCATTTAATGAGACTGAAGATATATATTCTAAAATACTGCGTTTAATGGTTTACAAGTTCTTCATGTTTTTTCAGTTTAAAGACATCGCTTTTAAAGTGGAAGCCTGACTTTGAGGTTGCAGCGGATGAATACACGCATGCTGGTAAGTGATTAGTAATTACTATTTTTGTAACATTTTTCTTGTATGACAAATTTACATTGAGCGATAGTAGTGCAATACACGTTTTAAATTCCTTTAGCTACCTGCTTTCGCATCGCCAAATCATTTAAACAATGCAGGGAGTGCTTATCGAAGGCTGCGGATTGTTACAAGCAGAATCGATCGTATCCTTGATTGTATGAGTTTATACATGGAAATATGTGTTTAAAGAAAGGATGGCTTAGATTAATTTTACACACACACACACACACCGAGTGAATGAATAGGTGATTGTAACATAAAGTTCATTGATTTTTATTTATGTTATTATATTAGCCCTATATATGTAACGTATCGTTCTTTCCTTAATAAATGTATAAAGTTGGTTCCATGCTGCAAAGTGAGTATTATAATCTATGGATAATGTAATTTTAGTTGCTTAGATTGTATTAATGCAAATTAACTTAAGATACAACTTTTTTATTTAGGAGTATAGAACAAGTAATATTAATATGCAAAGAAATAGGAGATTTGTCCGAGGTACCCAAACTGGCTCATTCGGCATGCTCGCTTTATCAACAACATGGTTCACCTGAGTCAGGTGCAACGGTGTTGGACAAAACAGGAAAACTGATAGAATCAACCGAACCTGAAAAAGCCCTTGAACTGTTCCAGCGTGCAGCTGACATTGTTATGGTTCATATCGATTGCTTAATTTATAATAATTCAAAGATTTATTGTGATTGTATATCGAGAACATTAATAAATTTCTGTTGATATTTTTACAGGGAGAAGACAGTCCAAGACAGGCTGCTGAGTACATGAGTAAGGTAGCAAGACTTTTAGTCAAACTGAAAATGTACGATCAGGCTGCAGATGCTGTCCGTAGAGAAATAGGGATGCATCAGCAGATAGATCACATCCCATCTGTAGGACGATTAGCTGTTGCTTTGGTCTTGGTTCAGCTGGCTCGAGGAGATCAAGTGGCAGCAGAAAAAGCTTTCAAAGAATGGGGAAATTACTGTGATGGTCCCGAGGTAAACCTTGGCCCTAGTGATCCACTACTTCCACTAAATTTTCATAAGTCAAACTGTAATTATAAAAAATTCTCCATTACTTTTAGGTGCAAACACTAGAAATGCTCTTACAAGCCTATGACAACGAAGATGCGGAGTCTGCAAGGTCAGCTTTAAACAGTCCATTTATCAAGCACATGGATGTTGAATATGCTAAGCTAGCTCGTGGGTTGCCTTTACCTCAACAAGAATATGCCATTCCACCAGCAGGCGTTAGGCCAAATGCAGCTGAATCTTACATATCCCCTAATGCTAGCAAATTAACCAGTCAGGCTACTGTTGAAGCAGAAGTTAATCAAGTATGTCTTATGAGATAATTAATTATTCCTTACATTTTTTATTTAATGTCTTATTCTTATTTTATAGGATCTGCCAAGCAAAGAGAAAGAGTCAGCAGGTTCAGTTAACATAGAAGTGGAGGAAAAAGCAATCGATGAGTCAGAGCAGTGTTCTCCTCCTGCCAAACAACCTCCTATGAACAAAAAGGAGGATGAAGACGACTACGAGGGAGGACTCTGTTGATCGTTTTGGCTTATCTATTTCGAGATATCTGAAACTAATGCGTATTTATTGTAATGCGCATAAATTATTCTCTGTATTAATCATGACTCGTTGACATGAGCGATCGCCTGTAAAACACGTCTTGCACGCTGGAAGTGCACTTTGCATTTCAGTTCTTCGACAATAGAAGCACTGCTGATTTCCAATAGATAACCAACGGTTCTACTATACACATTACCTGCACTAATCTGCGAAGCCGGGTTAGTGTATTGCATTTATCATTAACTTCACCTTTGATCAAAATAAATTTAAGAGTGGCAGTAATCTTGATCTCTTTTTAGAGGGACTCGTCGTTTGTGTCCTTCATGGTAGTACAAGGTAAATACTTTGTATGCTACTACCCGTTATCAAAGCTAAATGTTTTAGTGATTAAAATAATTGTTGCGCAATACAGATGTACATGTATATATTAATTTAAAGTTCCACGTCAGAGAGTTACCCAATAAATATGTTGCTTAAAATTGAAACGATGTTGCTTTACATAAAAAAACACAAAAAAAAACTGTACGGTACAACTTTTACATACTAACAGTATTTTGTATTACATGAATAAAAAAAAAAGAGTGTTAAATTATTAAGAAAGTAACAAAATGATTTAGAAACTTGCGGATCACAATTCAAACGTGCCGCCTTTTTCCTTTTTCCTTTTTCCATCAAAAGCGTGCAGTGTCGGTAAGCGTAGATAAGCCACCACCGTCAACTGCCGCATGGTATTACCATCACGAGTACGTGAGCCGCCAACGGCGACTGGTTGATGGTACATACCGTCATCGCGAGTGCGCGAGCTCCTATCAGAAATTCGTTGCGCCGCCCTTGGGGGCAAAAAACGGTGAAAGCTAACGTACGAAACCAGAGGGCAGTACAGGATGCGTTCGCACGATCCTGCACGTGAGCAATCTCCCAACTCATCTCTGTCTATGGAGACTTCTGAATTCTTTGATTCACTTCAGAGTTTAAATCAGTCTTAAGTTAGCCGAGGTCACGTGGGTCGAAAAAATATCGAAAAGCGACAACAGCGCCGCCAGCTGCCGCAACCAGTCGCCATCGACAGAGGCCTTGCGGAAATCTGTCCGACTCTCGATGCAACTGGGGTAAGTTCTTTCGTTAATTTTGCAAATCTCGCGAGAGTCGGAAAGTCGTCGCGCGTTCCTGGGTTGCGCGTCGCACGAGCGCGAACCGTGAACGCTCCTAACCTACATCACTCTCGCTGTCTCTCACTCATTAACACTTTGCGGCGAGCGGTCGACACTTTTTTTTATGCGGTAAACCAAATGCTCACTGTCAGTTGGACGGTACCTCTTATATCGTACATAAAGACCTTTCAATCCAATTGCCTTAACGTCTTCCTTAGGAATTGCCAAATCTTGGACTATGCCTTCGACATCGACCCAGCTAGGACTCATCGTTATAGGAATTTCCATTCTTGATCCAGTATACTTTTAATGGTGGTATTGGGGGGGGTCCTTTTATTTTTTTTTAGGGCCTGAGAGCACTGCAGCCACTGGGAATATCCTACTTATCGGGACTCGATCGTGCCAATTTTTGGTGGTCCTTACTCTTATCACTTATTCACTATTACATTGATATAAGTAGATGGTGTTTTTATGAGATTTACTGATTTATACTGATAGGAATATATTTCAGAATGTCTAATAGGATGTTGAAATTATATTGATTTATCAGGTTCTTTGGGTTTTTTATACCATGAATTGAAAAATTGTATATTCGTTAAATATATGAAATAATTTTATATTATAGGGGCTGCATCGAGAGTGTCCCTCCATACGATCCCAGTCTCGTATGACGACTGACAAATGGCTGCCCAGAAGCTCGGTCCCCCAATACAACCATTTTCCTCGTTTACCTTCTGATCAAAGGACCGATCACGCCTTAGAATTCTGTTGCATTCAACTTTCAACATGACTACCAATGCAGGAGTGGCTGAGCTCTTTGATTTATTAGAGTCTAACAAATTAGTTGATGTCGAGGAAATCAAAAAAGTGTTCCACGACCATTTCTTATCAAGTAAACAATTTAAATAATATTAATTCTTTGTGTATATAAAATATAATCTCTCTTAAAAGTTACTTTAAAATTTATACATTCCATGACATTGTTCTAATCTCGTGTTTTTGTTATATAGCGAAAGACAGCTGGCTGGTAAATGGTCTGTTCGATTACTACATCTCCACAAATTCTCTAAGAGCTGTCGAGGTTCTAGCAGGTGTGCGAGAGCCACATGATAAGTATTTACTAGATCGGCTGACAGAGGCTCTTTCGAAGGCTAGCAGTCAAGGGCAAAGGGTACAAGCACTGACGTTACTTGGCCATGTAGCTCGACGTCAGCCCACCTGGCTATATAAGCTTGCAAGTCACACGCTCTTCAGAGAATTGCTAAAATTGTTAAAGGTACTTATAATTATTTACTTCTGTACCGATTAATAAAGAAAGACAGTAACCGTTTTTTTTCTCAGGTGGAGAATGATACGTTGTCTTTGATGAGCGCGCTTCTTCTGTTAGTGACACTCTTGCCGATGCTACCAGCAGCCCTTGGGCCATATCTCTACGAAATATTTGATGTCTTTGGACGCCTAGCTTCTTATTATCATCATCAATCGCTGTCGTCTTCCTCAACTAATTTAACTTCAGTCTCGGGTCTGGCTGGCATTGACAAAGACCATCTGTATCTACTGCATCTTCAAGTAAGGACTGTTATAACCTCACTAAATATTTATTGCAGTCTACGTCACGGTTTGTATTAACGAAATCTATATTACAGGTCGGGTTGTATAGTCTATTCCACAGGCTATATGCTATGTATCCATGCAATTTTATTTCATACCTGAGACAGCAATATGTACAACACGATCAACTGACCACATTTGCACACACAGTGAGACCAATGTTGGACTCGGTGAGAATGCATCCATTACTAGTCACCGCTTCGAAGGAAACGGAAACTTCAGCTGCCAGGTAAACTCCCTCTCCATGTCGAAACTTTGTTAGTACATTTTCCGCCAGAAATAATCCAGTCCAGTCAGAAAAATGACATTAACTATCAAATTTAAATCTGCTACAGATGGAAGCGAATGGAACACCATGACGTAGTGGCGGAATGTGGTCGTTTCGCTCTGGACAGGTGTCGTGAAGAGGTCACCGTCCCTTCCAACGCCCGTTTCACTCCGATTTTAGGTTAGAAACACATTTCCCATATGCAAAATGCGATATAACAGCGGTATTTATTTCTTCCTCTTTTCTTTATACAGATCATCCCACAGCCTATCCTGCTGTCAACTCCACTGGTGTTAATTCATCCACCGGAGGACTGACCAATGGCGAAGAGGATACTTTCTGGTCACCAAGCATGGCGATGCCTCCGAACAGTCCACCTCCTCTTCAAACTTCGACACATGAACCCAGATCTACTCCATCTACTCCCAACAGCAATGCGAATAATAACGTTGCCAGAAGTGGCACTTCACCTCCAGAGGCTGCAGTCGAAGCTACCCCTGAGACCACTCCGGTCAAGGTATCGCAGACTTATTCTTCGCTTCGATGCATATATACATGTTGAACAAAATTAACGTAGCCATGGTGTGAAGCTGGACAGTGATTTGAATTACAAATGAGTTCTACAGTGTGTAAACTAATCCTTTTTTATTTGTTCACCAGGACTTACGGCAGCTGTCTACCAGACAACTACCAGTGGGCTCTTCCGCGGTTCGCGCTCTAGGAGGGTTCGGGAATGGTCCTTTGGGAACCAACTCCAGACCCTCGACTCCTGTGTCCACAAATCCCACGTCTCTCGGTTTCGCCGTTTCTGGACTGGGAGGCGGCGGTGACTCGCATTCGATATTATCCCAGAAGATCAACAGACTCGTCGCCGAACGCCAAACCGTTCTCCAGCAATCGCAAACAATGTCGCCGGTTAACGTCGAGCCGGACACCAGGACGGAAGAGGTCGACCTGAGTCAGGACGGGAAGAACGACTCCTGGCAAGAGGACCAAGAGGTTGCGAGAATTATTACCAACAGTCCAATTGAGAGTTAGACTCGTAATGGTAACTGTACTCTAATTATTCAACTTTGCAGGTCCTGGAGATCGTTAATTCTCAGACTGGTAACCAGGCCTACGGGTCTAATTTCGCCGATCTGAGAACCGAGTCCTACGACGAGGCAAACAGTCAGGGTGTCCTGGCCGATTTGTCCAGTACCGTGCAGAGACTTCGGTTTTATTCCCAGTGTCAGCCCTCGGTGATTTGCCAGTATGGGCACTTTGCTTGCAAGGTAAAGAGACGAGATGATGAATTAAATGAAACTCGACGGTATTTAATACGCACGACATTTTTGTAAACGTGTCACAGACTCGTAGGACCAAGTCCTGTCCCGAGATGAAAGTTGAGAATAAAATGGAGTCTGTGGAGGAAGGCGTGGGCAGTCTGGCCGAGGCAAAGTGCATGGAGGAAGCAGCTACGCAAACCTGCGAAACGGTGCCCTACGAGCATCTCTTACTGGGACTTTTCACCCATCGGAATCAGAACTCGGAGCATCCATCTAGGCAGAACTCATCCGACTCCAGATTGTCACCAAGCTCTATGCTGGATCGTTACGTGGAGGCTTGTGCGCGCACCGGAAACGTAGTTTCTAACGAACCTAATAAATCTAGTGAGTCCTGATTCGTGTATAATTAATAGCATCAATGGTAGCTGTTAACGACGCTGATTTTTTTTTAGAAACGCTATACGTGAAGTCAAGATACCGGAGACGCTTAGACGAAGACGCCAGTGAGGAAGTCGGCGAGGAGGACGGCTTGGACGGTAATGGCATATATCAGCAACTACAGTTAATGCAGATGCAATTGCAATTCGAGCGTCAACGCAGGGAGGTCCATGCTGAGCGCAATCGGAGGCTTATCGGGAAGCTGAGGGACTCGCGAGCTCTCGAAGAGCACAACTCCGCTTTGGTGAGCTCCGTGCAATTATTTATACTGCTTATTCTGGATAATTAAAAATAACGCCCACATCAAGAAGGTGCTAATTGATGCGTTCCACAGTTGGACCGTCTCCGGATGGTGGAGAAGGAGCTGGAGAACCTGAAGAACGAGCTGGACCGCAACAAAAGGGAGACTCGTCAGGCTGAAGAGCGCCACGCCGAGGCTCTACGCCATTGGCAGTCCAAAGTTAGTTCCTTTCTTCGGCGTTTGCATTTTTAATTCAAGATACTTAACGCCTACTTACAAAGTTTCCTTGATATCTGGGAATGAAACAGTGCGTCGAGGAGCAGCAGCAGAACAAACTACTGCGGGAGCGCTCGGAGTCGCTCGAGCTGGAGATCAAACAGGAGAAGAAGAAGCTGGCGAGCTGCGAGCGAGAAACGCGCAGCGCCGAGGCGGCGCTCTTCGACGCAGCACATCAGCTAAAAGATGCCCTGAAGGCTGCGAATCGCGGTGAAGAGCTCAAGCGCACCCTTGACACCGTGCAGAAGAAATTTCTCCTCCTCGGAGAGGTGATGCCCATGCCCTTTTAGATATATTTAGGACTCCATGAAGTAGAGGTTGCCAAACTCGTAATCGTATTTTGAAACGCAGGCCCAGTCGAGGCTACGAGAGCGTTCCGGTGGTCCCATGTCGATGGCTCGCCAGGAAGCCGCTCAGATACAGAGAGCCTATGCCGAGGAATTGTCCAGTGAGTCATTTTGTTACACGTTGAGCCATCTACCAGGCTGTTAAAAAATCACGCGATATAATATGTAATTGAAAATACTTCCAGATCTCCGCCGGCAGCTGGACTCGCGGGCGTCCCTAATCGAGGCACTGAGAATGCGCCTTGTCGAATTGGAGGCCCGAGAGACCCGCAAGGAGTCCCAGCTAATCGATCAGCAGAGGCTGCTGCAGGACACGAAGGAGAGGCACGAGGCCGAGCTCAACGCCGTCGAGTCCAAGTACCAGGCCCAGGTCGAGATCAACCTTGTCCTGCAAACGCGAATCTTGGAGCTCCATGGTAGCCTGGAGGCCGCCACCTGTAGTACCAGCACGGCCACCATTAACGTAACCTCCTCGGCCTCGCCCAAAGAGAGATCGCCCCCCTTGTCGACGAGCCTGGCCTCATCCAGCGACGGCAGCCATGCGATCATCCCCTCCGGGATCATGATGAACGATTGCTGCGACCCTGGCGGCGAGATCCCGAATCTTCAGGCCATTGTCGAGCCGACACCGAGCCCGCTGCGCACTGGTCAGCGACAGACACCCAAGCAGGATTGAATGTCGAAATCTGATTTCTGATCGAGAACTCTATATCCGTAACCGAGCACACGTCGTTTCCTTTGGTTTCGCCCTAGTCGAGCGGTCGTCTTCTCCGAGGTCGAGGAGAGACCGCTGCTCCGGCGAACGACCGAGGCACCACCGCCGGCTAGATCCCGTACTATCGGGCGATCGTCCGGCCAGCACTGAGCCTAACTTCGCGATGTCCGCTTCCAGTTTTCCTGGCGAGATTCGTTAAGAGACTCTCAGGTAACTCGCAAACCGAGGGCTCGAAATTCAAAGCGTCGACCGTTCTATTTCTGAGAGAGCGCTTTCAATGAGATCCTCTTTGATGTTGCAGGACACGCGAATAAGGCATTCGAGCGATAGAAACGGGTTCTTAGGTTTCACGCGTAGTTTCCAATTGCTATGGCGTTGCGGATGTTGTCCAGCTTGAGCGTACGTTCTGCAGAGATCAAGTCTGATCGACAAAAACTATAGCTATGCCATTAACCTCCGGGATCGCGACGAATTACTGTTGTGATTCCGAGGAAGCCGCAAACCCTTCAGGCTGTCGTCGAGCCCGTTACTCACGAATCATCGATGACCCCTGAAACAGGGCGAAATTAATGCCTCGAGTGGTTAATAAATTATACATTATATTAGGCCGCGCGTTTTCACGTTTCACCTAGCCTTAGTCGTCTGACAGTCTTTTCAAGGTCGGAGATTCCCAAGAAGTATGTCGACCCTTATCGAGATCGATGGGCTTTATACGATCCCACTTCGTGAAGTCTGCATCTCGTTTTACGTGAGAATTTGTAAAATAATTATCCTAGCGATTTAGTCATCGAGAGTCCAATTTCTAAAGCGCCGAGCTTACCTTCGGCTGATTTCAGTTCAGGGGCGAAACGGGGGGTGAGGAAATTGTAGGGACTAGGAATTACACGTTTGGACGAAAGGAACGGGAACTTGTTGCTGTTTCTTATATATCAATCGTAGTTTCCAATTGCCGCGACGAGGCGATGCTGGTTAATCCGAAAATATGTACCGTAGGATCAAGCTCCAGGGGTGTAGCTGCGATAATGATTTTGCAGACCCAAGGTTGTCGGGGATTGTGATTATGCACTGAGCGTTCTACACCCCGCAAGCCTGGAATGTCGCTGCTGTATCTCTAATATCCTATAGCGACTTCAAATCGTGTGGATTTTAAGTACTTGCGAGGTCTATCGATACAATGTCACGTGAAACTCTGTGCCGATTTCATGGCGCGGCTGCTTGCTGTTCAGATCCAGTTGCAACCGAAAACCATAGTATTCGAATTACTCATGTTTGCCAGCTATATTTTAACGCTAAGGCAATTGGAAACTAGAGAAAGTCGATCTCTTTGTATTCCGCTGGGATTTTCTAACGCAAAATTAACGATGAATCCTGATTAAAGGGGCGATCGTACACGCCGATGGTTATGGCCTTGGATGCCGTTGCTTATTTCCTCGATAATTGCGCATATGTTTCGGCGAGGTCGGGGGTCGGCGACCCACGGAGAGACTTTTTCTCGGTAGCTTATAATTATTAGAATAATCACGATCCGTGGGATAAAGAAAAACAAATGTAATGATTCAATGCATGATCGTCTGTCAATCGGTTACCTCGAGGGCGGCGCTCAGTCTTGGCCCTTACGATCGGACGCTTATTCACGACGAATTCAACGTTAATAAAAGTTGAGATATTTTGTGAGCAATCCCGGGCACGATCCCGTCCCCAATTTCATGACCCATCCATGAAATGTGGAAATGTTAACGCAGGAATGGAACTTTATAGGCTCTCTTTATTTTTCTCCGACCGCGAGTCGAAGCCTTCTGGTCGTTGGTACAAAAACGAACTAATATGTATTGTCGCGTATAACGTCGTATATACGCGTACAACAATAGTACTGCATAATACTGAGCGTATTGATTTACCAATGCGTAGGTACAGGTACTGCGCGATTGGTAAATTCGCAAGTGTTGCATCGAGTTGCCGCGAATCGCATATCTGCGAGTGCTTGCTAAAAAAAAATCTCAATGGCCCGCCACACTATCGAGGGATGGTCCTACAAAGAAGAAGTAAATTGTGAAGATTCATTTACCTAAAAATGGGTAAAATGATAGTCCAAGAAGCGAGGTGAAGATTTCGAGAAATTAGGAAACACCTAATATGACTGACCGGGTCGTTATGACTGATATTGATTTTTTGTATACTTCATTTAACTAAATTCTAAGCTGGCGTGTGAATTAGTGTAATAATAACTGTACTGAACTGAACCCAACGATCTCTTCCCCAGGTGTTAATAGGTTTGCAATTCTTGACTCATGGTCATGAGGATCGCATCATTGGGAGTGGCGTAGGTTGCCAAGTCTGAAATCAAGAAAAATGGATCAAAGTGCCAGCGAACATTCTTTGGCGAAGAGGACTGATGAAATGTTATTAAAATAAGTAATGTAAATTTGTTTAAAAATTTATATACATTGAGCCGCACTTTTGACTAAACGGGGGGAAATATTTGTTATCTATTTCGATACACTTTCATCACAGCGAAAGTATACCTCACTTTGCAGCCATTGAAGCAGCGAATGATGGGACGTGCATTGGGTATTATTCAAAGCTGTGTGATAAAACTTCATTCTTTATTACATGCATTACAGACCTAATCTATGATCGATCGATAATTGGGGTATTTTGTACTTACGACTATGGCCTTGGTGAATGGGGTTAACTTTGGCTTGTCGGAGCAATAAGTGAAGAATCCAATAAATACTGAGCCACACGAGAGAACCAACCGAAAATGCTTGAAGTACAACCACTCCACCATACTTCTCCATCAACCAACCGCAGATAAAACTACCACTCGACACACCTGTCACAACGGTGGAATGTAAAATATGTCTCAGATTAAATAAGAATTGTATCAACTGAGACAGAATGAATGTAGAAGAGTGTTGTAAGTATTTTAGAAATTAAATAGTTTCATTGTATGGGACAAATGCTCACCGATGCCCTCAAAAACAGCACCGACAAACCCCTGCATGGTTGCTTTGGTACCAGAGGGTGCTACCTTGTCACCGTAAGATACCATTGTTGGCCAGCAAAGGCCAAACGATGGTCCATGGAGTACTTCCACGAACAAGAATATCCATAGATTACTTATCAGACTGTAAGACATAAACCTACGAAGGAATATATATTCAATTATGATAAATTAACAATATGCCTATGATTAGAACTTGCCTAATTGCGTAGACGAGGAGCACGATGCTCATAACATTGATGTGGCCAAGTTTGTGTAGTAAAGCACCTGATACAAAGTTAAAAGACAGCTCCCCGACGAAACACTGAATGCCTATGAGCAAGCCTTGCAAAGTTTTCAGCCACGTCACTCGGGAATGAGTAGCTAAATCATCGATGTACCAAAAGAGGAAATTCCAAACTACTGCGGTGCACATGCCAGAGCCAATGCACCACCATGCGAACACCAAGACTCTACTTTCCTGTACAACGGACCACAATTCCCACAGGACCGAAGGCTCGTCCTCAGATCTCTCCGGACTTGTCTGCAATAAAACTACTTTTCTCCATTACCTGTCCATTTCAGAGTCCCTAGTAGTAGCAACGAAATAGGACGTGAATCCCGGTATCTGATAAATCAAAGATTCTGCATTACCTTTCTCAGCGTCGCCGAGACTATGATATCCAGTATCATCGCTGTTAACATTATGAAGAAAATGCAGGAATAATCCTTCTCGGCATGGCCTCGACTAAAAACGTCCACCAGATATCCGGCAAGTACTCCAAAAATTCCGAATCCTATACTGCCCCATAGCTTCTGCTTCCCGTATTCTCTTTTTCTTTCTTCACCTGTTCCATCAAAAATTGATTTCTCGAATACTGGGTATATTGAACATGGGATTAATCCTTTGCACTCGAGGACTTTGCCAATCCAGTTGCCAGCGGTGTCTGAGAGGCACCCTCGAGTGCAAAGGGTTAATATTTTTAATGTATAAGGTAATCCACAATTACCAAGTATGTTGAGACATATTGTGTCCCCGATGCTAACTACCACTGCCATACCGATCCAACTTATAACAGCTGCCCATAGATATATATGAAATTGATATGTCCATGCTTGCGAGTTGCTTTCATCCTGACTTGCCTCTTTCAAAAGGTGACTCATTTCTGGCACATTTTTGCAACCAATCGTACACTTAGGTCTTATGTGTCTCTCACAAAATGGTTTATGTATAATGCCATCAAAAAATGTTACATTGCGAACGCGTACGTCTATGCAAGATCCTTCCTGATTTTTAAATCATAATTATTAGACACTATTAACACAACTTTAACTGAATAAAAGAATATTAAGATGACAGACATGGCATCTACTAAATTTTCACAGAAGATAATTACTTGCAAATTCTCATACACATTAAACTGAGCAGTAAAATTAAAGGTTGTTCCTTCTGATACATTCTGTTTGGCCACGCCACAGAACTGTACGGCACGCCAGTTGGAACACAATTCTTCATAGATTTCTGTGGATGCATTACAAGATAACTGAAAACCAATAAATAATTATTCAAATATAAAGGAATATTTTAGACACTTGAGATTCCGAACTGACCTGACATTCTAAATTGACATTTGTTGACGATATCACATTTCTTAAGACTCCATTAGAAAAGCCCTTTTTACTACAAATTTCTATGAAGGCTTCCTTGTTACAAGTTAGGTAAGCAGTTGCACTACTTTCTATTTCTGGTATAAAGTATATAATAGAGAAACCTATAACAAGTAAAACTTGGAATATCAGCAAGATGGACTTGTGTAGATTGAATTTATCAGCCAGTCCACCTAAGAGGGGTTTAGCTATTAACCCTGAGATCGGTAGCAAGGTATACATTGTTCCGACTAGAAAACCAGAAAATCCCAACTGTTTTGCAATTGTTGGTAAAAATGGCACAATTGGACCTGTGGCTTTAAACAAAAAGAAGCATAAATGCACATTTGCATAACAGAATCGTGCTTATTCACTTTCATAATCCACATATAAAATATTAAAATCTTACAAAACGATGTGATACATTAAAAATACTTACCAGCATTATATAAAAAGTAATGAGCCTTTATAGGTACCAAATCCTTGTTTATAGTGTGCAACATTATCGGAAGATATATACCACAATAAAGTTCCCTTATCAGTACAAATTGCTATTATCTAAAACATAACACACTCAATTCTCTAAATAGTAAATAATTAAGTAGATATTATCATTCCACTAGAGAAGTTTCTTCATTTTAATCTCACCCATGTCCAAAGTACAAGATAAGCATTTAGCATTCCGATGGTCAAAGACAAATCTTTAATAGTTTGAATTTTTTGTAATGGAAAAAAATCATAGCTTCCTGACGTCTCTGTACTTTGGATCAAAGAGTGGATATCACACCTTTACACGGGAAGTAAGGAAACAATTAAAAATAACTCACAATTAAACCTGCTATCAATGTAGAATTATTTGTCAAACAAATTAAAAATGTAAACTCGCAGCGTTAGGGGCAGAATGACAAATGAGATCCGTCATACTTCGCTGCTGGGTAAAATATCGGTTTAATGCTTCTTTATGTATGCTGTATGTACGTATGTACATACGTATGCACATGTGCACGCAATAGTGCGTTAAGCTATGCTACCCAGAGCAGAGATGAGTTGGGAGATTGCTCACGGGCAGGGTCGCGCGATCGCATCCTGTGCTGCCCTCTGGTTTCGTACGTTAGCTTTCACTGTTTTTCGCCCCCAATGGCGGTGCAACGAATTTCTGATAAGAGCTCGCGCACTCGCGATGGAGATACCATCTTTTGTCTATGGAGAACATGGCCGGCATATTTAAGTTTTCGGAGCTTAGAAGAAGCGGAAAGTTACTGATCAAGCACGAGTGCCAAGGAGCGAGATTTATGAGATGTTTTCGAACGGTGGCAGGCCAACCGAAAGTTCACGGGAGTATTTTGAAATACTGCGTTTACGGTGCTGGCGTTGGAGTGGTCGCCGCTGCAAGTTTTTGGTACAAACAGGTTAACCAGGCGAGACAGAATTTCGCCTTGGAGGGCTCCTCGTCGGTCATCGAAAAGATAAAGTACAAGCCGCCGGTTGAAGTGTCGAGAAAGGTACCGATCGTCGGTAATTGAGTTATTTTTCTTATTGAGTTTTTTGCGAATCGACGTACCAATGTTTTGAAGCTTGCTTGTTGTGTTGCATTGTTAATCAGCTTGTCTGCCCCTGAGAGGATTTTAGACAAGTTATTTTATTATTCTGATGAGGGAAATGTTATAAATGTCATGGTTTTAGGTTATCTCTACGGTAGATACGTCGGGTCTGAAACTAACTTTATTTCAGTACCAAAGTTGCCCCTTCTGCTGCAAGGTAATGATCAGAGAAGCGGCGATCATACTTTAAAGTTAGCGTATACATTTTTTAAACTCCTGTTTAGGTACGAGCCTTCTTAGACTATTACGGGATACCTTACGATATCGTTGAGGTAAATCCTGTACTTCGACACGAAATTAAGTGGTCACCGTATAGAAAAGTACCAATTTTACTAACAAAAGTCAACGGTGGCTATCAACCTTTGACGGATAGTTCTATGATTATATCGTTGTTAGCGTCATATTTAAGTGACAAGTCTTGCCCTGTCGAGAACCTTGTTCATTATTATCCTACCGTTTCTATGCACGATGAGGAAGGCAAATTCAAGAACGAAATAGTGAACAAGTATTTCCTAATGTATCAAGGCCCTATACCTAAGGATAGAACATTGAATGACATTGTGTAAGTTTAGTACATTCCCTGTTTAAACAATTTATCCAAGTAATTAAGTTCTTGAGGCTTACGCACGAATTTGTTCCCCATTTTATTCAAGTAATTGACAACGTTATGTTAAAAAGCTACTCATTGCATAAGAAATAGTTTAGTGCTTTCTGAACTTGGGTAAAGCATTTCCTTGATCTAATCGATGATAACGTTGGCAACCAGGGAGGAGCGAAAATGGAGACAATGGGCCGATGACGTATTTGTTCACACCTTGTCTCCGAATGTCTATCGAACATTGGATGAAGCATATGAAACCTTCAATTGGTTTTCCAAAGTCAGTGAATAGATAGCCACTGTTTTTAGTAAGAATAACATTGTGATCTAAAGTATATTTCAGATCGGCCGATGGGAGGAATATTTTCCTGCATGGGAGCGAAGCGTTATGGTTAATGTTGGAGCATGGGCCATGTGGCTGATTTCTAAACGACTAAAAAGAAAACACCTATTGAAAGACGATGTCCGGGAATCGCTCTATGACGGAGCGAGGCATTGGATGCAGGGCATTCGGCATCGAGGAACAGTGTTTATGGGGGGAGACAATCCGGATCTTTCAGACCTGGCTATGTATGGGGTATTAAAGAGTATCGAAGGCTGCGAAGCCTTCAATGATTTACTAAGTCACACAAGTCTAGGAACATGGTTCAATGCAGTCAAAGAAAAGGTCGATTCACACGCCGGTAGTGCACTCTTAACAGGGTAGATAGTTTTAAAGGATTTATTTACTTTTAATAATAAGATCAATAAAACCTAGCATTAACAAGAATATTTTCGACGTTTTCTCTTTCCGGTGACTTATACAGCGCATGCTAATTGTCTGTACATCAGGACAAATCCTCGATTTTGGAAATCTCGTAGTTCGTCGGCGTCAGTCACCACGTACAGCACGAAAGGTTTAAGGCTGCCTAAAATGAGCATTAATCCTTTTCCGTAATTAATTGTATTATCTATGCTGGATATTTTATCCGTAAAAGGATTTTCAACGCGTGTACTCACTAATTTTTGTTGTAAATCCGTTACCACAAAACCGATCGACGATCTGAGCTGTGCCATTCGCATAGGGATCAGGTACTATCACAAAATCCTTATCACATTCCGTACCAGACATGGCGGCAAATTCGGTCCCTGTAAAGAGTGCACCAATTTTTCTTTAGACTTCAACGAACAATGATCGTAATTTCACTGGATCATTGTCTACCTATATAAGTTGTATCGAGAGTCCCCGTGTCTCCAGAAACGGTGAACGAATTTTTGTCCGACTGTGACCATTCGATACTGCAATACCCCAGAGCCATTCTTACGCACACTCCGTACCTTAAATTTGCCATCTCCCTCGTCCCTTGCATCGGCGCTGTGAAAGAAAATTTCGTTCCCTAAGCTCGATTTTCCAAATCGATCGCATAAATGTCTAGGACATTCGCTTTACCTCTAGGGTTTACTACAGTTCCGTAATTGAAACTCATCACCGTGCCGGTAACACTTCTGTAATACTGCAGACATCCATTCGGGGCTACAACAGACGCTTAAAAAATAAAACATGAATTTGTTAACAATAAGAAATTATTTTTTAAACATACCGCGCCACAGAGAATCGCAGGGTATTTGCTGTATCCTTAAGTTCCACCTTCTCTCAAACGAGAAATCCGCGTTCGTGTCAATCGATATCGTGATTGGATTGGCCTCATTGAAGTCAACGTACACTGTAATAACTTTAACATTTACCACCTTAATGAATTAATTAATTAATACACGGAAACAACTTACCATGCTGATTCGTATTTTCTCCGCAAATTCGTGGAACGGAAGATGCGCCTCCGGTGGCCAACATGAAGTCGTTGTCGCAGGTCCCGTTGACATTTGGTTGCGACAAACTGAAGTCGAGGAAATCTAGACGCAGCTAGACGGATAGAATAGTTCTAGTGTACTTTAGAATTGACTCAATTTATAAACGGTCTTCTGAAAGCGTCGCGTACTTGGCAAATGTCCGGATTGCAACGATACACCGTAAGTGCACAACGCTCACCCCCGTTGTACGTCGTTGGATAATTCGGGTTGATGAAGTACGTGTTGTTCACGTTCGTCGATGCCCCGCAAGTCTTCTGAACTGCAATGATTGAAGAGAGTAAAAAAAATACCAGGCTAGTCCAGCGAATAGGTGAAAACATATTGGGGAAATTATACTAACACACGCAACAGACTCCAAGTCTACTTGCACAAGTACCCGAGGGTGTTCCACCGTAATTCGAGCACTCTCTTCTGGTAAAGCAGGTTCCATTGATGTTGCTACTTCCGGAGCACTCGGAGTTCTTGAAGCGCACCACGCTGAAGAGGGGGAAAACTGCAGACAGAAGAGCACGTTCGGTTTGAGAAGTCAAGCCTTGAGGAGCATCGAACTCCCCGAGGGATGTGCAACGGAATGATCTTCGAGGAATATTTTCTGATCCATGGGAAAGGATCATAGCGAATCGAGGAGTGAGTTTAATCCCTTTTCTCTTCTGTTTAATCGACGGAAGACATATTTAAGTCTGAACTTACATCTTCCTTGGCGGGTGGAGAGAGGATTATTTTCAGCCTGTCCGGAAGTGCTACCATCCCCCAGGGTTTGTTCCCAGGAGGGAACCTCACCGGACACCAGGGAAGCAATGACCAGCAGAACCACCAGGAAGCTGAACATGTCTGGACTGCATAACCGATCTGTATCATCGGTCCCTCGCATCCCTCAAGATCTCCATAACGGTAGACGTTTGCATAACTGCTCCTCGCCAATTAGCAGCCCTCTGAAAACTCGAAGCGCATCGTTGACGTAACTGTCTGCGAAAACCGAGAGACATTTGCCTTGGAACTGGGCCGAGGGTTCAACGCGTTGCAGTCCCAGGAAGAAGCGGTTGAAATATTCCGAAAATTCGTATTTGTTATCAATTTATTACGTTTCTTCAACAATGGCTTACACTACGTTGGATAAAAGAGAACCAGAAGACGTTGGGTCTATCACGCGAGTGCTCGAGTACTCGCAGTTGAGGAACTCCGTTGAATCGAGTTCACTGGTAATTGAGGGTACGATCAGTACGTGGTAATTGCACTTTTAAATATTCTGAGTCGTGGAGTTGGGAGTTCGACAGAAGGGACAGTGTCCGTATCTTAGCAGCGCTAATTCGTAGTCGTCGGAGTGGAATAGCTGAAATGAAAAAGGCACTTTGAAACGGTATTCCATGAGATGTTTTTCACGTAAGACGCCGAAGAGTTAATCGATTCGTACTTTGAGACAGGTCTTGCATAACGTGACCTGTAGGTCTGGCAGAAGGTTGCGGAAATATCTCGTCTTGAAGGGCTTTGGCCATTTTGCTATCAGAACGGTGGATGGCTCCATACTCGTCAATACTCCTCGGCCAACGGTTATCGTTGATCCCCCTAATTTATTCTCCAAAATAAAGGGAAAGAAATGAATTTCGGTCCCATTTGAATGACTTCAGCAAGGATGCAACCTTCTACCTCGTATCGCATAAGACGAGCGGTGAATAAATCCGCTTCTTCGTCGGCCAGAGTCAGCTGATCTATACTGTTGGAGCTCTCCGAGGGCGGCAATGGTTCTTCTATTAATTTTTCGGCCTCTTCGTCGGTGATGTTCTCCTCCAATTCGAACTCGACCAGTGGCAGAATTTCTAGATATGAGATATAAATATACTTTGGAGATAATCCCTCTTATTTGGGTGTATAGATGTGCTGATGCAGTTTTTTTTAAGAACTCTGATGTTTACCAAACATAACGAAGGAATGCTGAAATTTTAGTCCGCACTGGACGCAGGAGTTGCTGAAGACGTTGCTGGCGGGAAGTAGGGAATTGAAGGTGGAACACCGGTAGCAAAGGGGCAGCAACTCTTCAGGGTCTCTGTAGGGGTTCGCCCGCGCTGCCAGGGTGGAGATTTCGACCTGGGCCAAAAGGTGACTGGGAATCTTCATTCCCCTCATCCGCTCCAGCAGCTGCATCATCAGCTTGTTCGCTCCAAGTAAACGAGCCTGTTTTACAAGGACGTAAATAATGGTCAGCTTCGATACGCCTTCCACTTGGACCCCTTGAGTTTTTATGAGGAGGTATCTCGAGATGTTGAACAGAGCCTCCGGCATTAACGAGGTAAATGGTTCTTCCTAGAATTTATACACGTAGATCATTTTTCTAGAAAAATTTCTTTCAGCGATACGCTGAAGAACCGAGATCTTTCACCAACGAAATTATAAACGGTCTCACCAGGTATTTGTACACTTCATGGTAAGCGTAGTAGATATCAGCCTTATCAGAGTATGCCTGAACGGTAGCCTTCACTTCTTCTTCCGACCTATTCATATCCAGACTCAGCTGTGAGAGGAGCCAGTAGAAGTAGGAGGCATCTCGATATCTCTTTTCGATGACTGCATTTTTCGCCAGGGTCGTCAGAACCACCGTGGATTCTTCCGTCTGCCCCGCCATTTGGAAGGCTAATAAAGGGGCACGAATTCATGATGAAATGTTCACATTTGAGGAATCGGGAGTTATACCTTCCTGCGCCTCCGAGAAACGACCAGTCTCGGCCAACCATCTGGCATAGGGTCCGTAAACCCGAGGTTTCAGTTTTGGATTCCTCTCGGCAAGTTCGAAAGCCTCTGGCCAGGCTTGGGCGTCGACCAGGACGTCGGCAACGTCAGGATCGTCCCCCAAGCGACCGAAGATCTCGGCCGCTCCGTGGGTGGCGCCTAATTGTCGCAATTTCCTCGCAATCGTCGACAAACTGTCCCGCTCGGCCCTGTCCAATTGTCTGCCAACCTTGATGAGCATGTCCACCCAGCCGTATTCGGCGATTATATTAATCGCCCGCTGGATATCACCTGCGGCCAGGAACATTTCCGCAGCTGCTCGAGGCTCGCCCAGACTCTTCGCCCACTCTGCCCTGCGACGCAACAGGATGGTGCGATCCTAAAGAGAGGGATTATTTTCTATCACTTTTAATTAATCCGTGGAGTTGCGAATGATTTTACCTGCGTGTTGCCACTGGCCACGAATTCTTGGGCGATGTCGAACATCCTTAGATCCGAGTACATGTGCAGAGCGCATTGTTGCAGTCCTGCTTTCTGGTAGAGTCTCGCCGCCTCTCGCAGCCTGCCCATCGCCGCAGCTGCAGTGGCCATGCAGGCCTCTCGGCCCCATTCGCCCGATTTCAGCTTCTCCTCGACTTCTGAGACCATTTCGATGTACCTCAGCTTCTTGATCCTCGCGAACGCCGAGTAGGCTGTGTTCAACTCTAGACTGTCCAAAGCTGCGATTCCAAGGGCGAGCCAGTCTGCTTCCGGGACTCCTAGGCATGCTATGGAGTATGCTTCGTCGAACATTCCGAGCTCCAGGTATTGGTACATGGATGATGACAAAGGTATCTGGATAGGGGATGAAATCAATCGATTAGCTAATTAATTACACCGATGGTGGTTAGTCTAGGGCAACGTCTCATCGCGCACCTCCACTGTCGCGATGGTCGACCCATTCAGGCAGTAAACCTTCGAGCCATTGTGTCCGACCACGAATCCCGAAAACTTCTGCTTGTACTCGTTGAAATTCCCCACTTTGATCGCCAGGTGAGTGAGATCCGAGAAACACAGCATGTCCTCGAAGGCGCTGTTGAAAGCCACGCTGGTCACCTCCTGGAACTCCTTTAACTTCATTTCCGCATGCAAATCGAAGACGGACAATACACCATTCTCGGTCACCACTGCCAGCTTCTCTTTCGTGGAACTTATGTCTAGACACCTTATTGCTCCGTCCACCTTTGCAAGGTGGGCAGGAAAGGGGTTGTCCAGGTAGATCCTCATCACCTGGCCCGTCTTCAATCCTGAAATTGGAATTTCAGTCGAGTCGATATTCACGTTTGTATAGATATTGAAATGAATTTCTTACGTCAAGCTCGGTACAAACCAGTGATTAAGCATTCTTGACCTGCAGGACCTCCCGCCACCTTGATATACGTTATGTGTCCATCAAGGATCCATTCTCTCTCGATGACGCCGGAAAAGGACATGCTCTGCAGGCGTCTTTCCAAGCAGAGTACCAAATGATTCGTCGTGACTACTAGCAAATTGCAATTCAACGTTTGCGCCAATTTCTTGCGTATTCTGTAATGCATCCCGTCCCCGTTATCGATGGGCTCGTATATTATCACACGTTCTGGCAATTGCACCGCGAGTCTGTCGCGGTACACCGCGATTCTGCAAATCTGGAAGCAAATCAATGTGGTTTTGCTTAATTCCAAGTCGTACGTTAGAAATTGAATTTATCGGTTTTCTATTTACCAGGTCCTTGCACTTGATCCGCACTTTCTGATTGCTGATTAGGTGCTGGATTATAACGTCGATCATGTTCTCTCTGTATGCGTATCTGTCCCCGTAGAGTCCGTGCACTATGCTCCATGATAGCCTAAGATACGTGATGGTCCCATCCTGGCAGCCTATTGCCTGGCAAATGTTAATTTATTTTCCGTTAATTCAAGTAGTGCGGGGATGAAAATTATTCCTCCGTTGCACATCCTGCAATTACCACGTGAGAAGACGTCGGGTGCACCGCGCAGCTCCAGACCCAGGAATTAAAACTATTCCCGACAGTCGCCAATTGGATGCCGTCGAAAGTCATTAATAAACATTGCTTATTGCTGCCGCAGACTAGGAGATATTGGCCCTCGGGAAAATGGGTAACTCTTAAAGGGACGAAGTTTAGGCTCCGGTCCCTTCCGATCGATTTCCCGGCGACGTTGTAAAAAGACAGAGTGCCACCCCATTCCGCGACGCACAGGACGTCTGTCGACTCCTCTCTGAAAATGACGAGTTAACGTCAAAATTTCAAGGCTTGACACTTTCCAATTTTACCAACAATCGGAAGGAAAAATAATTATAAAACCGTGAGGGACTCCATGACAAACTCCACACCGGCGTTCCTCCAGGTCGCTCGATTCGGGTTCTCTCTTCTCCGTTCTGAAAGTGTTTTTCGTGCATTTTCAGGCATACCTTTCTTCCGACTGAGGTTCAAGGTATCCGAACGAACCTTATTTCTTATCGACACGTAACCAGATGCGAGTCCAATGGCCAGATATTGCCCATCCTTTGACCATGCACAACAATTGACTCTCCCGCCGGATTTATGCTTTTGGACCGCCTTTTGCTCCGCAGACCAAAATGCGATGTCAGACAGGGAACAGCTTAGAAGTTGGTGGGAAACTGGGTTGAATTGCATGGATTGCACGGCTTCGTTATGCCTGGGTAGTGTTTTATCGAAAAATTATATAAAATTACCAAGTCTTCGTTTTCTTCTTAATTGAAACGAACGAAACCTTTGCATTGACTTTGCGACCCGAACTTACGAGTACTTCAGGATTCCCTCCAGCTTGGAAGTCCATATTATCACGCTCTTATCAGCACTGCCCGACGCGAATTTCTTCCCATCTTTGGCGTAGCAGACGCAATAGACCGTGTCTTTGTGGCCTGGGGATTTATTTGAAATTTTCGATTTTATTTTTCGTTCATGGTAACGGATTATAAAGTTACATTGAGTACCTTTAAGGGGTTGGATCAATGCCCCATCACTGGTGTCATAGACGAGCACTTGCTGACCTGCAGCAACTACTAGTTGCGTGCCGTCTGGGTTGAAACACAAGTCGTATATACTAGGAAATAAGCGACATTTAATGAAATCAGGGATAACGATAATATATACATTGATTAGGGATTAAAGAAAAAAGGATAATGACGTTTGGACACTTGTTAAGGTCTCATTGTTAGCACTCATGACTGTCACGTATTTTCATTTTTACCATTGCTCCGTTTTATCCTGGACCTTGTCCACCCATGTTGGATGAGCTCTCATGCTGCGATGATGTTGCACCTCTGCAATTAATTCAGCTAGCGAAACTTTTGCACTTTTCACATCGGCACGTTGATTTTGACATTCCACGAGCGCGACTTCCGTTTACACTCCATTCGTTACCACGGAAACAGCCAAAATGGCGACTCCGGAACGCGGCTTGACCAAATTCTTCCAACACCTGCAAGTAGCCGGGCATTTCGTCCTTCTTTACCTGTTACCTGAGATGAGAGTTACCGTCTCTTCCTACTTTACTGGTTGAGCCCCGATACGGTCTCGCCATGATTCGACGCTCGTGTCTACTAACCAACAAAAACTGATCTGTCTTACCAACAGAGATTGATCGATAATTGCTCAATTTTCTAGTTGCTGAACCGAAGGGACGAATTTCATTTGTATATTTTCTTATTTCTTTAAATTGAATCCTTCGTCAGCTAAATGAGTCTAGAGGTTCGGCCGCCATCTTGAAGTCTAGCGAAGAGTCTACGATTCTTCCTGGGATCATTATTTATGGACTGGGTGGCAAACAGTACACGGGCGTTAAAACATTAGAACGTTTATCTTTATATCCTCCCAAGAATATAATATATATTCGAGTTATTTAAACTTAATAGTTTCTTTGTAGACATATACATATTTAAATATTTATGCTACATTATATCCCAGTTAATTAGACGTAGTATCTCTAGCATGGGAATTCTAGCGTAGACTCGTACCGGTTCTCGCTGTATATTTAAAAAATCGTTAATAACGTGGAACAGAAAAGTACAATGCAATCCTCACTCTCTGGTACCGCACGACGACTCCAGTTTGTACATTGCTTACGCTTCCTCGCGCAGACAACCAAGTCCAAGGGGGGAGGGCGGCGAGTACGGGGAAAAATCAGTTTATACAAAATATAAAAAGGAAAAATTGTAAATGCAACAACGTTGATTTAAAAGGTCTACCGAGTAAGTCGATTAAAAAAGGAAAAGTCCACTGGTGACGGCTTCGCTAAGCAGAGCCACGATCTAGCTTTGATCACAGTCCTTTTCTCCCCGCGGAAATACTGTATTGCAATTGATGAAGAAGAAATTAATAGACCGCACGGTGCGCATATATCCTAGACGGTTAACCGTTACGTTAATGATTATCTTGTAACACCTTCCGCGGACGACGGAAAGTACAACCGATAGGTGTATACTGACGGATGCTACTTTTTTCCACGAGTGTCATGTGTGATCTACTTCCGCCACTTCCGCGATCGTAGCTCTACACATCGGGCACTCGGCCAGTTGCTTCGAACACGTTTGGCAAAATCCTCTGAAAGGGAGAAATAAATCGTTAACATTGCTGGCGTACAATGTTTAAATGTCTGGTCTTAATTTATAAGAGGCAACAAGGATTTTCTTTATATAAGCGATACGATGAATTCCATGCTCACCGGTGCTCGCAGGGCAACAACCTTACGGAGGCCTTCTGGTCGAAGCACAGGGTGCAGGAATCCTCTCTGACACTGAGCTTTCTCAACTGGTCCAGGTAAATGTGTCTTGGAAGCACAACTCTATCCTCCGGGTTCAATGTGGCGTGATCATTAAATGCTTGGTATTCCCTGTCCGTGGGAGGATACTTGAAAGGCGCGTTGCCGAAATTGAACAGGCATTGCTGGAACGCCATAAAACTTGCCGCTGCGAAGAACCCAGTCCTAAAATCGGCGTCGGATTAATCAGGTGTCACCGAATGGTTGCATATCAACGAAGTGTGATTTGTTTCCTTCAGATTTGAAAGAGGTTACACCTTGCTACGTAGGACGTTGGGAACCAAGGCTTCAGGGGGAACCCGTTTATGTAGAAAATTATCTCGCGCCTCTCTAGGTCTAGAAGGCATCCAAGAATATCACCAGGTTTCCAACAAGGACTTCCCACGTAGTGTTCGCTCCTTGCATTGTGCCATATCAGGCCTCGGCAGCCATCACAGGCTAAGGAATATTCGTCATCGCCTATACCGTATCCCTCCTAAAAGTGATCCGTAATACATTCATTTAGAAATCGAACGAAATCAGTTTTGCTTTTGGTATAGATGATTCGATAAAAGCCTTACATGATTTAGGAACATACTGTCCTTTGTGGCCCACCCGATTTGCATAACTCCTGAGGTAATTAGCAGGGTCTCGTAGTACCACGTTCCAGAATTTACTTGAAAAGTACATCGCACACTTTCGAATGAATACACGTCACTGCGAGCCTGGAAATTGAATTTGTGATTAATTAACTCGGCACCTTAGATGGAGGACTGTCGTTTTCACATTTCCGGTAGAATACCTCCAAACCATTCGGCGAAATTTTCAGGTACTCGCTTACGTCCTTCGTATTTAACATCACATGAATACCAGTCATATCGACCGTGTCATGGGAATACTTTCTGCCTTCCGTTAAAACTGAAATCAGAAAGTTGTCGGTAGAGCATCCTATTCGTTCGTTGCAACGATCTTAATATCGTGCAATGTGAATCGTAACACTCACATAAATTATCTAAACACCACCGGGCACAAAAGCCAACTTGTCGACGTACGTAATGAGCCTCGGTAGCCCATTTTTCCAGTTCTAGCAACGGATGTTGCTTCGCCGCCATCAGACGCTTCTTAATCATTACTTTATTCTCACCTGTTGATCGGTAATTTTCGATAAGCCGCTCCAAGTTAGTAGTTGCGGGACTTAGGAAACACTTACTTGTTTGGGCGAACTTTTCTAGAGCTATCAGAGAATGTAGCGCCACGTACGGATCGGTGTCGTCTCTCTGAAAGAATTAGAATTTTCGCTCGTGCATGTAGAGGTATGCCATGACTTCCTTTTCAGGACTTACAAGATTCGACACGAGATAGTCCAAGGTGGTATCAGATAATATCGCTATGCTGTTAGGGCCTGCCATCTTCTCCGCAATACAGCCCATAACTACACAAATGTTGCGCTGTTGGCTCGCACTAGTTTGAACATTGCCCACTTTTTGGGACGATTGAAACATGTGCGATAGTTTTAACACCGTGTCCTGTATAAATATTATTAATGTAAAATTTGATATTTTTATATGGCTCAGTAGGTAGCATTTTAGCTCTGGTACGAGGAAACGGCGGTGTCTTACTTTCGAGGGTAAAGGGCAGTCGTATAACAGCAGAGTTATAACGGAAGGACCCATTGGGCTATCCATCGGTACTACATTGACCATGGAGCTAACCATTCGAATCCAACCATCTTCCTTATCGGCAATGGCACGCAACGTCAACATGGCAGGAGGTGGCTCCTGTGAACTGTTCATAAAAATACGTGCCGTCGACGATACTAAAATATCGATTACATCTTATACCATGTCTTACGTCAATAAAAGGGAATCATACTTGTCGACGAGCGATCTGATGACTGCAAGGAAGTCAAGGACAAGCTTATCGATATCATCAGTCGTTGGGAATCTGAAACATGGATTCGACGAGTCATCGGTAGCACTGGCATTTTCACTCCGATTCGATAAGATTCTGTTCCGTGAATCCGCACGATTACGGCCTTCGCACGTTTCAAGATCATCCAACGATGCCTTGCGTAAACAGTTGCCCATTCCCACAGTTGTTATTCAAGATCGCTCGTGCATTAACGATCTCTCGCACTCCATTTAAAAGGGTCGATGCTGTGCACCTCATCGATATCCATCTATACCGTAAGTTGAAAATCATACCGTTACCATACAAGCCTTAACACTCGTGTCGACTCGAATAATCTATCGCAACATTCAAAATGCTATACTAATATGTAAAATACTTTGCAGCAGCACATGCCTGTATCGAAATTCGTCTATCGTGTACGTCTAGAGATAACCTCCTGCTAACCTCTTTAGATACGACTCCAGTGCTACAGAGGTACCGTACGAGCTTCCTCGGCAGAGCAATCAATTTTCGCAAACGACTTTTCGTCAAAATACGTTTTCATTTCCTCGGCAACGGTCACTTGATTAAGTCTTAAGTATCAGCACTTTTTTCACCCAGTTTGTTGATGTTTCGCGCGGACGAACGTTACCATGTCCATTCGGGAACTTGACATCTCGGCCGATACCAGGGAGTCCATTACGTAAAGAAAATTGATCGAAAATGTGAAAAATGAGTAGTCGACGGTATTACGGAAAGGTTGGTGGTGAAAATGCGAGACCATTCATGTGAAATGGCTCGACACAAATTTTTAAGGTAGGTTCGGTTCAGGTAGGGGTCGTTCGCGATTGCCGCGATGGATAGGGGACTGGATTCCGCGGCGAAACTTCCTTTACCGTTTTTTATCTACGACCCGTGGTTCCGGAGATACAACGGAAATGAAAATGCTGCGCTCCGATTGGTCGGTTCTTTGGAGGCGCGTAACTCGGAAACTACGCAGCGTAGGAGAAAACGGAAAAGGAAGTTTCGCTGCCAAACGATGTCCGCCGTCGATCCCCCTGGGTACCAACATCCTATATCTGAACGGACGGGTAACAACCTAACCCGTGGTAACTTGTTCTAATCTATGGTAACTTATTGGTAACCCATCCTAACCCGTTGTAACCAATTCCTAACCCACCCTAACCAATTGTTAATCGTTATAAAATGAGAAGATTTAAATGGAAGAAAATATGAATGTTTATCTCGGATGGTTAACAGCGGTACGTGGGTGAATCGAGTCAGTCCATTATCGGAATATTCCGAAATGATCGATGGGCAGGCTGGATGATACTCGTACTGCAGCTGTTATATATTCGAACAAGGCAGGTTAGGATAGCATGGTAGGAGATGCGTGGGAGAGGAGGAAAAAGGGCGGGGGCAAACAATTTTTTCCGCGCGGGCGCCTATGGATGCCCGTGCGGGGTTCCGTCCGCGTGGTAGGAGAAGGTGG